GAAATCCAAGGAGTTAGGGTCAAAGCAGAGGAATATAAATTACAGGCGTTTGCAGACGATATGGTTTTCTTCCTAGAGGATCCCATGGAAAAAGGACATAATCTAATAAAAGAACTAGAACAATACGGCTCAGTAGCAGGATTAAAGATTAACAGAAATAAGACGAAATTACTGACTAAAAATCTAACAGAGAACCAGAGGAAAGAATTAGAAAAAACCATGGGGATACAGGCAACAAAAAAGGTCAAATATTTAGGCATATGGTTAACACCACATAGTAAATCACTCAAAGAGAATAATTATGATAAACTGTTACAGCAAATTAAGAAAGATCTAGAATCTTGGAATAAGTTGCAGCTTTCTCTACTGGGCAGGATTGCCACAATCAAAATGAACATTTTACCAAAACTCCTTTACTTATTCCAGACAATCCCAATAAAATTACCAAAAAATTTTTTTGATGATATAAATAAGGTAACTCTTAAATTTATTTGGCAAGGGAAAAAAGCTAGAATCAGTATTAAGGCCTTACAAGATGCAAAAAGTAGAGGTGGGCTAGCGCTTCCAAACTGGGAATTATATTATTGGGCAGCCAACTTATTATGGTTAAAAGACTGGGTCAATTTACGGAACAAAAGAACTCTAGTCTTGGAAGGGCACGACCTTCAGAGAGGATGGCACGCATTTCTATGGGATGTGGGGAAAACTAAACAGGCGTACTTTCATAGACATCTTATTAGAGATTCACTATTAACTAATTGGAAAAAAATATGTAAAAAACATTATTTAAAAATTCCGATTTGGCTTTCAACAATGGAGGCAATGGTTCATCCCAACAATTTGGATATAACAAAAACGACTAAATATAAAGATTTATTAGACCCTTTAGGGAAATTAAGAACTCGACAGGACTTACAGGAACAGGGATTTAAAATTGATCAGTGGTTATATATACAAATCCATAGTAGATACAAACAAGATATCAAAGAGTTTGGAATCTATAGCAAATTACAACACTTAGATAAAATCTTATTAGGATCAAATAAAAAGAATATCTCTAAATTTTATAAATATTTATTGGAGGTAGAATTAGAGCAAGAGATAGTGAAAGGGAACATGATAATGTGGAGTAGGAATATTGGAAGAAGCATTACATTAACAGAATGGGAAAAGATCTGGAATAGAATCATTAAGATTACGAAATCTGTGGCGTACAAAGAAAATATGTATAAAATGTTATATAGATGGCACTTATCCCCTTCGAGGTTAGCGAAAATGAACACAAACTCTAGTCCAAAATGTTGGAAATGTAAAAACATAGAGGGAACCTACTTTCATATGTGGTGGACCTGTAAAGAAGCCCAGAAATACTGGCAAAAAATTAGAAAATGGCTGGAGGAGATAACCAAAGAACAAATCGAATACAAACCAGAGTTCTTCCTACTAGGGATCTCTGATAAACATTTTCCTAAAAAGACGAAATATATAATAATTCATATTCTAACTGCGGCCAGATTAGCATTTGCCCAGTGCTGGAAATCATCCTGTTTACCTACAGATCAATTGGTCATTCAGAAAATATGTGACTGCGCAGAAATGGACAATTTAACCATAGCTCTTAAAAATAAAGAGTCTTCAGCATTTGATAATAATTGGAATGCGTGGTATAATTGGTTATATCAGAGATAAACTGTTCAAGGAATAATGGGTAATTTAAGCATAAATAGTAATAAGATGTGTATATTTAAAGTAAGGTAGGAGAATTGGATCTTGCAGACTGTCAAAAAGAATATCTGTTTGGTTTTAACGTATTTTCTTTTTTCTTCCGTCTCTTTGTTTTTTTTCTCTCTTTTATACTTCTTTTTCTCCTTTTTCGGTCGCAAGACCGAGCGTTTTTTCTTTTTCTTTTCCTCTCTCTTTCTCTTCTTTCTTTCTTCTTTTTTTCTCTCTGTTGCATATGTAATGTTGTTATGTTATTTTTTAATTGTAAATTCAATAAAATTTATATATAACCAAAGGTGTTTTTCTAGAAGGCAACTGGACATTCTTGGAGGTTTTTTCCTGAAACCTTTTGCTTCTTAGAACTATTTCCTAGCAATTATACCCTTCCCTTCTAAGGAGTAGTATAATTTTTAAAAAGGTTTACTATGTTTTTCAAGGAATTTGGGCAGAAGGGATTCTTGTGCAATTAAATTAAAGAAAATGACAACAAAAATTTATTCCCCACCCCCCCTATAAACAAGCAGTGGGAGAGGACAATAGAAATCTTATTTTATGGAAATAAATGACAAAAAAATATCTGTACTACCATTTATCATCTCCAGGGGAAAAGCTCAGTGAGTCATATACTTTAGCTGAACTCAGTGCAATTCTGCAAGTAATTGGCCAATCATAGAATTAAAAATAGAACCATTAATAATAAATACTTGGAAAAGAAAACAGTTCTGCAAAGATAATTGGTTTCACTTGCAGTTCTTGGGAAATCATTTTAGCAAGTATGACCCATTCTCAGCATAATCGGTTGTGCAAAATTACAGAGGGAATGGTGTGCAGCTAGAGGTGGCCTTCACTGGCTGTGCCTGCACCATGTATTATCCTAATTTTGTTATGCTCTTCGTAGCCTTTCCTATCAGGTGGACTCAGCATGGCATGGCTGGCAAAGCTCTTGGAGTAAGGGGCTTGGAAAATTAATTTAGTTAGGGCATGAGCAGGAGGCTGTGGAATCCAGATACTCCAACTGACAAACACAGTTCTCACCACAAAGGAAGGAGAAGGGTCGGATGTCTGAAATGGCAGGCGAATGGCTATGAAGGGACTGGTAGGTAGAGGAAGACTTGACAGTGGTCCTAAGCTCTAATCCAACATGGGGACTATGCCATTTTACCAATTTGGTAAATGAGGATGGGAAAACAATTCTGGAGGTATAGTTTCAATTAAACAATAACAACAACCTTATCACAACAGCACTCTCTGTGCCAGACAAGCATTTCTGCTTTTAATTGTTTTTGTAGAAACCCAGAGGGTTTTGATGAGTTAACTTATGTTTCCCTTATCTTTTAAATAATAAAAGGGGCAGTAGCAAGGATATCAACAATCCATGGTAGGAGCTCTATTTTTGGAAATATTGCTGATTACCATAAAAGCAAGCCTCTTCAACAAGAAGCTTAAAATATAATTTTTCAAACTGTTTTAAAATGTATATTTTAATTGATTTTGTTTGGGGTGTATTTTTTGTAAACTCTGCATAGCCAAAGGAATTAGAAAGTACAGACATTTATTGATGTAACAACTTAAGTCTATGTACTATTTTGTAAAAAGATTTTCTCATTCCCAATAGAATTTGAATTTTTCACAGTAGAGGGTGCTGAAGAGCAGGATAGAAATTTGAGTTATCATAATAGAAATAGCTGCATCTCATGCACGTTCCATTTAAGTTTAACTTAAGATTTCACATTGATTTCTACTTTGAAAAAAAAAAAGTATCTTTAATATGTCTTATTTCTCAGATATATAACCTATAACATTTATAAAGCAAACAAAGGCATCCATAAGGGGGAATGGGCCAAATAACAAATTAATGCCTTGCGATACAAACTATGTAGCTTATGCACTTGGGGCTGGCATCAGGATCCAAATATGAAGGGCCAGGTTTTGCAGTGTGATATCACAAGGACCTTGTGCATCGACCCAGAACACAATTGATCACAAATTAAACAGGTTCCTATTATGCAATGGGGATTAATCAGATCGTTTGAACAAGAATACCTAACAACAATGTGGATAATTATCATTATTCATGATAATTCTGTCATGCAAGTGGCCTTGAAAGAAATATTCAGAAACTGTTATAAAAAACAAAAGGCAGAAGTATTCCTTAAACTCTGGAAATTGAGAAAAATATTAGGAAGAGACTTGAACTGGTTCTTCCCTGATTCACTGGGGTATAATAAAGAAAGGAGGACAATCTCAATCAGATCCGCAAAATTCTGTCTCAATAAAGTTTGGTTCCAATGTGCTTGAGGAATCTGCTTCCTGATCTGGATTACCTCAAAGTCTCTCACCTCTCCTTGCTATTGTCCATGCCTTTCTCTCTCTCCACCACTCCGTTCATACTGTATGTTATATGCCTTTCTCAGAACTATGCTCCATCCATCTGATGAACAACATCTATAAAGCTGCTGTGAGAAACTAAACATTACAGCCATAGAAGACTGATGGTTTTGCCATACAAGATTAATGTCATCAGTCTGCTAAAACAGTTACCCAGGCATGGATTCCTCTTGTTCAGTCTTTCAATTAAAATCTGCTTTCTCCAGCCAGGTTAACGCTTTCAAAACCTAAATGACTTTAATTATATCTGTTCAAAGATACCCTTCATCAATCCTTGGAACTCTAAAATATAACCTAATCTCCTTTTCATTCAACATTAATTCCTTCTAAATCTATCCACACACAGTTCTCCATATCCTTTATCTGTTACCTCCTATCACTTCTGCCTTTGGTTGGGTCATCTGGCTCTCAGCCTTCTTATCCTTTCTAGGCTAATCCCACTACCTGCCCCCCAAGTGAGACTCCGATTCCCCCACTTTCTATTTGTATCTATTTGGGATATTTCCAAGTCAAGCCCATCTCCTCCTTTCCTCACCCATCAGGAAATGGAGAACACCTCTTGAGATGTGTGGATTTCATGGCTGTAAATGAACAGACTATCCCTAGATAATTATTTGATTATCCATGCAACATTTGGAATGAATCTGTATATTCCATTGCAATGGATCATTCTAAGAAACAGAATGATAATGGCAGAAATGTACTGGTTCTTGTCCTTTCTTTTGGGTGGGACTCTTGAGATTGTAAGCTTGAGGAAGGGAGACTGCCTCATTTCTTATGGATCTTATATCAATAATTGTGGGAATCTTTTTGACTAAAGATGAGGAAGAGGGAAGGAAAGTAGACTAACATCATTCAACACAGCCATGTATTCAAATTAATTGGTTAAATGTATTTAATTTTTCTTTGTAAATAATTTTGTTAATATGTTTATTAACAACCTAAAACACAATACAGCCTTAAAACAGTTATACAAAATAAAATCTGAAACATATACTGAAAGCAGAAGCAAGCAAAAAAAAGAAAAGAAGAAGAAGCATGGAAATGAATGTTATTTAAGCCAAAGCAGATCATTTGGGAATAGAAAGACTGGAACCTTTCCACTACACAGATGAGAAAACTATTCCATCCAGGCTGTTAGCCCAGATTCATACTTTTCCAGTGAGATGTATATCTGATTACTTATTATTGGTTTCTGGACCATCTCAGAAAGATAGATTTTATGAAATAGTGTAATAAAAATATCTGTCCTATATAGGCAGGCAACATAAAATCCTACACAGGACATTTTGGCTGCTGCTGAAACAACTCCAGAACTTGAACAATGAAGCAGAGCTATCCATGGCATGCATATACATTTGACATTTCCTTGGAAATTTGGGGTGAATTGAAGTCTCTACAGAGAGAAGCTTTCTCCCCCTTCGCTTAGAAACTATGCCTTAGATCTTCTGTAAGTAGATTTCCAAACAGCGTAATTACTTTGGACTGGTGATTCAGTGCTGGCCTGTTGAGTCTCTTATATCATCACTAGAAGGTCTAGAGAAATGCAATCTATTCCAATAGCTTAGCGTCTCTCAACTTTAGCAACTTTAAGATGAGGGGACTTCCACTCCCAGAATTCTCAAGAGGAGCATCTTACAGACATACAAATGAGAAATAATAAAGGCATGAGTTGCCTAGAAGGGTAAGCATACCTTTCACCACTACGTTAAAGCAATAAGAATAGAAGCTGCTTTAGAAAAAAAAATGCCCGTCTATGTCCCCTATAAAAAAGTAGTTTGCCCAGAATCTCTGCTGAATGGTGAAAACCGAACCCACAGTCTACAGTATCTCTTCTCAATTCATGTGGACTCTGAAACTGCTAGAGTTGAGGGGACTATAGACCAGACACACACTGAAGGACTCCACATTCTGATCTTTCAGTACCATTCTCCCGATTTGCTCCCTTAGTCTCTGCTACACAATCTTTCCTCAGTCTTCCTCCTCACTACCCTACTTGATTTTTTAAAAGAATACATGGGTGACAGTTTATTCCAGACAGTGAAACTGCAAATTTCTGTACTTCATAAGGAGAGTTTAAGCCTATATTTGGTACTATATGAAAGATTCACGAACCATATCTTTCTTAATATTTTTGGGGGGAGCAATTAGTTTCTCTTTTGGAGTCCACATTCTTCTTCAACTCTTCTCAGTTGGTCTGCTTCTCACAATACTCCTCTGGCTAAACATACAGATGCTATGCTATTACAATCTTTCCTAGCATGACATTTTGGAGAAGCTTGTAGTGCTTGTATGTCAGATCATCGGCCAGCATTTTGATGGCAATGTGGTCTTGTCAAAAAAGCAATTACTTCTCTTCTGTTTCCTTAACTTCTGTCCTTTTGCCTTCTCTCCCTCCTATCATCCTTTATCTTTTCCTTTTTTCATTATTTTTTGAATGGACTGAATCCCAAGGGGGTTTATATATGTTTAAATCAGACCCAGTTAATTAGTTTTATACTTTTGGCATTACTTATTCGTTTTAATTGATTGGTATTAAAGCACTTAGACAATCATAAAAACAGCTAAATGTTTTTTACAAAAAATGCAAAACTGGATCCATTTTCCTCCTTCTTCCTTTGGGGGCATTTACAGAAGATGAAGCATATATAAGCAAAGAAGAAATTGCTGTCCTCCTCAGTTGTGTTGATGTCATTGTTGTCTTCGTCATCCTTGTCCTCCTCAAAAAGTAGTCAGATCTATCGCACTGATGTACTCATCGAAACAGCCAAGCCAAATGGTGAAGTGTAGGCTCTGGCCAAACCCTGCAGGCCAAGGATCAGATAGCTGCATCCTTTCTGCAACACTTTGCCCACATTCTGAAAGTAGTGAAAGAACATTATTAGCATGAGGAAACAATTCCCCCCAAAATATTACAGTTTAACAAATATTATTACAGCACAAAAGATGCCAGTTCAGCTCAGTCGGGACAATTCTCTCAGATTCCTAAAATGTCCACTGGTTGGGGAGAATATGGTTGGATCGACACTTAGCCAAGAAGTTAATTGTGTCAACTTGATTCAATCATTGTCTTTAGGCCAACGTATTTAACATCAGGATAAAATCAGGGTTATAGCTTGAACTGCTTTCATGTTGGCTTGCTCCAAATGTGACTTTAAATGCCTGAGCCATTGTTCATCATTCTCATGAAGTGTCGTTGTTATGTGTTTCATTTCTTTAAAAATCTTAAAGATTTTTCTTTCTTTTTCTTCCATGCCTTCTTTTCAACTCAAATGGTTTCAGAGCAAATTACCAATAATGTAACCCAAGCAGTAAATCAACAAAACCATAAAAAAGGATAAAGAAAGACAGATTAAAAAAAACCCAAATGCCAATTTCCATCTGATCTTTTCCCCAGAAAATTTCAGTACAAAAAAAAATAGGCACGATGCTCTAGGGCTAAATCTCATAAGTGAATATTGTGGTGGTTTACATTTTGAAGCAGTTCTGAAAGGCTATGCAGCCACAGGATCCTGGTGCTTTTGCCAGAATGATGAAATAGTCTTACATTGCAAGCTCTAGTTATGCATGCAATATTGTGACACGTGGAAAAGTGGTGAGGCTTGCTGTGATGCTTTCATTAGTCTGATCCTCTTCTTTTGCCTCCCCTAACCCTATTGATCCAAACAATAGCTGGAAGGGGGGGAAAGCAACAATACAAAGTTATTTTAATATACACATCCAGATGCCACACACGCAAAGCATTGATTCCCCATTCCAAAATATCACACTGCTATATTAATAAAGCTGGAGGGAGGTGGGGTGAGGATTTCCTCTCCCCATTCCAGTCAAGGTGATCGGTACCAATTTACAGGCTGGTTAGATGAGAACCTGAACAGAGCAAAATGATCTTTCCCTTCTGAATCTTAAAAAAAGAAAGAATTGCTAAATATTCTGTCACTCATCTACTTTTAATCTATGCAAATATTAACACGTTGTTTTATTGTGCATTTAATGGAACAATTTCCTTAAAAGAGAGAGGTAAATAGAAGAACCAAAGCTGGCACAAGGGACAAAGTTAACCACCAGCCAAGGAAGGAACCCCCTGATTTTCATCCTGACACTTAGTATTGCTGCTGTTGGACTGATGGCTGGGAAGGAGCCATGGCAAGTTCCAAGAAAGGAAAATCCACACCCTTTGCCTCCCTTGTTTCTGCTGTCTGAGTAAAGGAGTGGATAAGGCTCAGGAACAAAGGGCAAGCATTGGTGATAGAATAACATGGAGCTAATGTTAGGATACAACCTCTTCTGAATGATAAATGGCTTTGCAAAAGCATATTTATCATGATTAACTTGGTTGACACAGTTTTTTGAGCTTTGCCAGAACACTGAACTATAAATCAATCAATAACAACAGGCTAGCTTTTCCTGTAACATCAGGCTACATAAAAATTGCTTGCTCAATTTGTGGTGTGCATACTGCCATAGTGAGATTCTTCTTTAGGAAGGAAGTGTTAAGAAAATCAGCAGTACACACCAACGGAGCAAAAGGTGCTGGCCCTTACTTTTTTTTTAATTTCTGCAATTGGGAGATTAATAAAACGAAAATGTCTGTTTTGCCTTGTTATAGTGCTAATCCTTTTACAGCAATTTGATAGAAACTTTCTATATTTTTCTTGTACACAGACAAGCCTTAAGGTCAGCAGGATAAAACAAAAGAGAGGGCATCGTAAAACAATAGTACAGGAAATGTCCTGATAGGCTTCAGTGGTCAGGAAATTGAGATATTGGCAACAATCAAGGACAGTGCTAGACATCACCTGTACGGCATTTAACAGTCCTTGCAATGCTTAAATAGAAAAGATTCAAAGAAAGCACGTTTACTGTTACGTAAAGGTGTGTCTGACTTTTTATCTTACTCGGTTAGATAGTAGTGGAAGGACCCAGGAATGATAAGAATGTATGAGAAAAACAATAGAAAAGCTGGGAGGGGAATTTAAAGGTAAAGGAACAAGAAGGAAGAAAAATATTGAGGTAGGTTTATCCTTTTTAAAAAAATGTAAGACAGTCATGGGTCAACATAACAATATCAAGTACTGCAGCAATGATAGAAAAAAGGGGGAAAGAAGAAGATGGTTTTCTTCTTAACACCATAATAACACAATAGGTAGCGAGATGACAGAATATATATCATATAAAAGGTCTGATATATAAGATGTAAAAGTGTACAATTTCCACCACACAAAACTTATTTAGACAAAACTGCCATTATTACTTTAAAAAAATAACCTTGACATGTAGATTTTGATTCCTATCAGCTAATCCAACAGCAAGGGATTATGGGAGCTATAATTCAGAAGGCCCAAAAGATAATGTCTGTGTTCTATATTAACATACTTGAAATCCTGTAATCTGATTGGCCCACCAGGGCAGCTCACTGATTGGCCCAATTACCTCATTCTGATTGGACAGTATCCCGACCCTACGATTGGCCCGTCGGGACAGCGGGAGATTCAAAGAGCCATCATTGGCCACTAGCCGCGAGCAGCCATCAATAAAAGAGGCTGCCGCGGCTCCCTGGTTAAGACGGATTTTAGGAACTAAATAAAGAGCTGAAAAGTCACACTGGTCTCGAGTCTCTTTTCCCGCGATCCAACAGTGTGGATCTTTCTTTTAAAGTAAGATTGATGTGAAAATACACAAGACCTGAAACATTAACAAAACACCTCACTTTCTCCAGTATAATCATCTAATCATACATCAGATGGCTCCAGTTGATGGTGCAAATAACACAATGGAGAAATCCAGGAGATACTTGAAATGGAATCCAAGCCATTGCCTTTAGCCTAAAAGGTACAAGATCAAACAGCCTGGTGGTCAGGTTCAAAAAAAGCAGCCACAAGTAATTGCAAGATCATCATGAACCACCTCCTTTACTGTGACTTAGTTATTAGTTTATGGACTGTTCTCTGTTACAAGAATGTATGCAGGAAATTGAGGCACTTGATTATAGGTAATATAAATGGTTTTGGTGAATGAATTTTCTGAGTAGGATCCAGTTATAGAACAAACCTAGAATTAAGAAGGAATGTTCCGACAGAGAGAACCATTAACCAATGGAATGGGTTACCTTCAAAAGTTGTGGGTACTCAATCACGGCAGGTTTTTAAGAAGAGATTGGATAGCCATTTGTCCAGAATGGTACAGGATCTCCTGCTTGTGTAGGGGGTTGCTTGCCTCTCTCTTTCTAGAGTAGGGATAGAAAGCTATTCTATCCAATACTCCCATTATTGTTCAAATTGAGCTAGTTAATGTAGTTCAGCAATATCTTGAATATTTTACAATATCCAGAGATTATTGAAAATCTCCTGGTTAAGTGCCAATTGTAGGTCCTAACAGAAACAACACAACTTCATTCTGATATTGCTGTGATTAATAAAGCTAGGAGTACGAACTAGATATTCAAGAGAAAGGATAAGGGGATAACATTATATTCTGATACATAGCACAAAACGCTGTACTGAGAATGAATTATAAACTAAATATATTTCTTTCTCTAGATTCTGATTGGTGGGTCTACAATACTAAGTACAGCTTACATTCAAAAATTTGCCTGCCTTTGGATTAGAGTACTGTATGTAAATATCTCCATACCTCTTTAAAATAGGAGTCCCATTTGCACATCATGGGAGTCAGGGGAATCTAAACATGCTGTGCAGAACTCTAAACAGTACAAATAACTTGTTTAATTAATCCAAGGGGAGTTAAAATTTAATCATACACAATCTTTTGCGGGCTAACTAACTCCATCTCCAGATTAATTAATCTTCTTGTATTGTGTGAACTACTTCATGACCGTTAACATTCCTCCATCCTAACACAATATCCTAGTGTTTCTTATTTATTTTTTTCCTCAGGATTCTTTTCCACTTTTAAAAATGATGGTGGACCAAAAGAGTTTTTGTTTGTATGGGTTTTATTTATCGTTATTCACTGTACCTAAAATGATGCATTCACTGCGGCTACTTCTAATGATTGTTCAATGGGATTTAATTATATTATTCTTCAACATAAGCTGGCAAATAATTTTGATTTGGCAGACTCCTAATAGGAACTTGGAGAACCCCCAGGGGTCTCAGGATCATACTTTAAGGAATTTCTAGAAACCCTTTTGCCTTGATAGTTTTCAACCCGCACAACCGATAAAAGGGGGAAGCAGTGGTTGAGGGTATTTGCCCTCTCCAAATAGAAAGATTAAAAGAGCAGGAACTTGGGTAGCAAATATGTCAGCTGTCCAATATCCTATCAATAGCTTGGAGAATTTAAAATAATGGTTGTGATATGGCAGATCAAGCTGTCTATGATCCTTGCTATTGGTAAACAAAGGTGAATCTGTTGAATTGAGAAGATGAGTGGGTTTTCTCCATTGTACAAACTCAACTATGATAAACTGACTTTCAAGGAATACTAAAATATAGGCAGAGATATCCCCCAAATGCTTCAACTTGTCATTATCTTTTCTTCTGTTCAAAATAGAGGAATCTTAAGACTTCATTGAGCGATATAAAAGCTGATCACATGTAAGGCACAATTGTCACTTTCTTCAGTCTAGCAGCTCAAGTAAGTGACTGAAGCTTCAGAAGCAATTGTGTGCCACAGGAAATACTTGATCACAGCCCAAACAATGAAGCCCTGATCTCAGCAAGGAGCAAAGTAGTGTTCTAAGAAATGGCATGCCTTTCTTTTGTGGTTACTTCCATACAGAGTACAGCAAAAGTTTTGAAGCAGGACATGAATATTTTATCAAGAGCATGAGCATACAAAACCACAGAACTCAAATAATTTTTCTTTTGGTGGTTACAATTGCTAAGTCAGATGA